GGCTCGCCCGGGAACCAAGCGGCTGCCGCAGGCCATCGTGGTGGGCGTCAAGAAGGGCGGCACCCGCGCCGTGCTGGAGTTCATCCGGGTGCACCCCGACGTGCGAGCCCTGGGCACCGAGCCCCACTTCTTCGACAGGAACTACGACCGCGGGCTGGAGTGGTACAGGTGAGGGCGACGCTGCGGGACCGCCCCCCCCGTCCCCGCACACCCGGGCACCCCCGACGGGAGCGCCGTCACCCCCGACCGGTCCTTACTGCCCTCTCCCCTCCCGGCTCCCTCGGTGGCCGCGTCGGGTCTGGGGTCCCGCTGTCGGTGCCACCACGTCCCTCCGCGCCTCGGGCAGTGCGGTCCGCACGGGCGGGCGGCCTCGGGATGCCGGCGGAGCCCGTCGCCCGGCCGCGCTCGGGGAGTTTTCCCTCCTCCTCCCGCAGCGCCCAGCGGGGTCGGGGCCGGGCTGGCTCCCGGCAGGACAGCCGTGTCCCGGCCCGGTGCGGGTCGTCCCTTCCCGGCGGTGGGAAATGGCCGCTGGAGCCAGGACAGCGCCGCGGCTGCAACCGCCCGAGCCCCAGCCCTGCCGGGAACCGGGACCCATAACAGGTTTCCCATCCCGTCTGAGGAAACGCTCTCCTGCGTGAAGGGGGCCTTCAAAACACGAGGGAATGACTAGCCCACGGGACGGGGTGGTCGCCCTGCCTGCAGCCTCGCTCCGTGTGTCTCAGAGCCCTTCTGCCCTGGGGTTTTGTCTCTGGCTGGGTGACAGGGACAGTCCGTGTCCTCACCGTCCGGTCTCTCCCAACTCAGATCAATGCCTGAGAGCTCTCAGAATTTGCAGAGAACAGCGAGTGCCTCTCCAGCAGGAGATGGTGGGATTTTAATTTCAGGAAAGGCTTTTGTGAGCGACTCGGGGGTGCTCCCAGGACTGCGTGCCAGCAGGTCACAGCGCCCGTGGGCTCGTCCCCTGCCTGTGGCCCCACACTCAGCTGCAGGCAGTTCACCCCCTGATCCCCACGGTGCCTGACCCCGTTGTTTGCTGTGCCATTGTGGAGCGCTGTAGGAGCTCTGGGCTGCTCTAGGGCAGGGCCATGGTGCTGGGCATCAGCCTCAGGAGGCAGAGGAGGGCTCGGCCCAGCCCTGGGTGCCTGTGAGCTTGAGCAGAGGGAAGGAAATCTGGCACAGTCAGTGTGTCAGAGCATTGTGGTGGGTGGTGGGAGGCAGCCCATGGGGCCACACAGCGAGCTTGCTTGCCCCTCTGTCTCAGCAGCAGTTTCCCAGTGGAATGTCCCCTGTTCCAGAGCAGGGCAAGCACATCAGCTGCCAAGCAGGTCGGGCGGCCCCATGACATGGTGTTCCAGCTCTGCTGGGGTCCTGGTTTGTCTCCTTGCTGGGCAGACATGAGTCATGGCTGTGGTGTGAGGATGCTGGTTTCTGACTGTGAGCGGGTCAGAGCTGCTCTGAGCAGCCCCTGCCTGCTGTGCACTGGGCTGCTGCTCTGGCCCTTGTAGCTGGCACCCGTGTCCATGCTCAGGCACTGCCCAGGGAGGGCTGTCTGCAGATGTAGGCAGATCGGCTGCCCTGTGCACTACTTGGGTCACAGCAGACCCTGCAGCCAGGAATGTTCATCTGGTGGAGCTCACTTGCCGTTTCCCTGTCCTAAAGCCGTCCTGCAGCACACCCAGTTCCTCCCACCTTTGGAGGGCAGACACAGCAGTGTCCTTTGCCTGTTCTAGCCCCTTGGCAGGTCTGTCCTACCCCACATGCTTCCCTCCCTGGCATCAGACACTGTCACCTGTCTTGCATCACCTAAAAGCAGAGAGGTGGGAGCAGCCCCGCAACACAGGCATGTAAGGACAGGAACAGCAGTGGGTTGATAAAGGGCATCCAGAGTAACAGGTGGGTGATGGAGCAGGACACAGACCTTGGCTGAGCCCATGCTCAGGGCCTGGCTGGGAAGTGGCTCCCCAAATCCTGAGCTGGGGTTCCCCCATGCAGTCCTTGGCCCTGCCAGCTCTTCAGGCTCATGTGTGTCCCGTGTGTGGGGTCACTGTGAGGAGCCCGGAGCTGGGAGCCCCGCAGGCAGCTCAGGACAGAACATCACAGTGCTGCTTCTGCAGAAGTGCTCGTGGCTCCTCACAGGAGGCCTGGGGCCACAGAGCCTGACCAGGGCAGCACTTACCAGTGCCTGATCTGAAGGGAAGGGGCTGGGGGCTGGGACAGACCCTGCCTGGGGCACATAAGGGCAGCTGTGGCACCCCATGTGGTCCTAGTCCAGGAAATGGGCGCTGCATCCCCCTCCCACACACACTTTGGCACTGAGGGGCTGCAGGAGTGAGCACGGAGCAGCCAATCTGCTGCCTGGAGCCATGGTTCAGTCTGGGATCCTCCATGTGAAGGGACTCGTCGGTGACCGGGAGGGACGCAGTGGTGGCAGTGAGCAGCAGTGGTGACAGGCAGCGATGGGAGCGCGGCTGGGTGAGCAGCGTGCTGCCCGGGGCCTGGCTTTGTGTCTGGATCGATGGAGAGATCACGCCGGAGCAGCGGAGCCTCCAAATTAGTTCAGCTAAAACAATTAAATGACACTTCCCTGGTTTTATTACCTTTTTTTTTTTTTTTTTTTCTTAACCTCACAAATGTGCCAGAACTTAAGCACAGAGGCTGCTAATGTATAAAACGTGGAATTGATTTTCCTCCTTGCAAGTGGAGCAATTAAATGTGGAGCAGGTCTAACCCGCAGCACGATGAGCTCCTGTGACTGTGCCAAGAGGCCGGGGAGCAGAACAGGGTCCTGCTGATGGCTGTGTCCTGGGGAAGGGCAGAGCTGACACCATGAACCTCTGGCTGGGAAGGGCTGCTCCACCAGGACCCCAGGGTGGGGAGGCTGCTCCTGGCCACTCCTGGAGACTGTCCCCAGCTGCCAGCCAAGGGGAGGTGATGCTCACATGCTTGGGGAGCACCACGGTGCCATGGGGGTCTCTGCAGGTAGCCTGGAGCACAGACCCCTTGGAAAGGCAAAGACTTTCCCCATGGTGAGCAGAGACTTTGCCTGCAGGAGCCACTGGCTACTGTGACAGCCGAGTGTCCAGTCCAGCTCCATCCTTCCCATTTCATGCCCCAGTGGGAAGCTGAGAAGAGGGACCAGGTAGGTCTTCAATGCAGTTGAGAACAGCGTGAGAGTTGAGCCCCTCTGATGCTCTGAAAACATCAGCTCCTGTTTTTCTGCATTTTCCCCTGCCCTGGAGTTGGTCTGACACGGAGGTGGCAGAACCAGCGGGAGGGGACATCTCCTGATCCGCCTGTCCTTGCCGGCTCCAAATGTCGTGCTTGCTCACAGCTGCTGTTTTCATGGTGCCTCCTGTCTTAGCTCCTGCCATCGCCCGGGGCAGCCTTGGCTCCCTCTGCTCTGAGAGGTGGCACGCTGGGCACAGGCAGACCCCTCTGCTTCCCCCCGCACCAGACCACCACCCAGGAGCTGCCTGCCCACCCACTTCAGGCCCAGAACACCCGTGCCGTTCCCAGTTCCCATCAGCCTCTCCAATCCACCTCATTAGCTACAGATACACTACAGGAAAGGTATTTTTAGCAAGATCTGTTTTAAGACAACTGAAACCAAACAGCCAGCTACTGGGGAATATCGATTCATTACCAATCCTGGACTAAATGTTCAATACAGAGCTTTTTCCTGCTGCAGGTACTGCGTGCCAATAACCTTCAATATTTTCCAGAACACAAGGAAGACAGTGTCATTTAATTTGCAGTTAACTTTGAGCAGTGACTCTAATTACAGCATCTCGGGGTGCAGTTTCCCTCCCTAGGATTCCGGAATAACCCTGTCAGATGTTCCAGCATTATTTTCACAGAGAGGGGCTTTTCCTGGCAGGTTTTGCAAGCTGAGCCTGGCTTCTGCCCGGCAGGCACCTCTGTCTGCAGGAGCTGAGCCAGGAGACGGGCGCTGGCACAGGGGAGAGCCTGGTCTGGCTCCCGTATGGATCCACCTGACTGAATCCAGACCCAGGGATGACACTTGGGCCAAGCTTGGGCTTCCCCACGTGCTGGTGCGACAGGTCCTTGGGGGCACCCACGCTGCTGGGGCTCTGCCTTGGGTTTTGGGGTGCTCTTGGGGCTGAGGCAGCAGAAGGGGCACTGCCAGCCTCTGAGCAGTGGGCACTGTGGCTACCCCGGGAGAGCAGCTGGGGAGCATCACTGCCATCCCCGCATCCCCATGCCTGAGGGAGGGAGAGGAGGGAGCGGGCAAACCCAGCTCCTGCACTCCGCCTCGCTAATTGCTCTCTGCTAATGGCCAGGTTGGCTCACACACAAATGGGAGCCCATTAGGCTTTGCCCAACGACACGGGCTGTTTTGTGGGCTTGACTGACAGTGCATTTTGCTAAAGTTAATTAGTAAGAAGAGAGGAAGGCAGCAAGCTTCAAGGATGCTTTGAAATTTCCTTGACTTCAGAGAGTGCCTGGGCTCTGAGGAATGGGTACAAAACCTCCGGCAGAGACTTGCGTGTGAAGAGCAACCCTGCAGGCAGCATGTTCCCTGGTCACTGCCTTGTCTCCATCTGCCTGTGGGCAGTGGTCCTCCTCTGGGTGGGTCTGGGTGCTGCAGAGACCCTTGCTCAGGCCCTGGGAGGGCTTCCCCTGCCAAGGTGCTGGGAGAAATGCAGGGAGGTAAATCCACGCGGGGCACCAGGCCTTCAATATTAATGATGCATGTTCTTGCTCTCTCTTCCGTGACCTTGTTTGTAAATGCTGCAATTTGTTCTAACCTTCGCTTCGTTAGCACGAAATCCAGCTCATAACCTGGCATGGCCATGGGCACGGATGCTCCACGAAGCTGAAAAGTGAAGGGTGCCGGTCCTTGGTAACTTGGGTGTCCATCGAGGTGCAGTCTATGGTATCTGCCACACCATGTGTGCTCCAGGGATGGCTGGGGCTGGTGTTTGTGCACTAATCACTGCCACCGGGCTGGGAGCAGGGCCCAGATCAGGCTCCTGGGGCAGGTGGTACCTGAGACCCTCTGGCAGGACAGCAGCCACCCAGGCATGGGGCCGGTGGCACCCAGCACTTGTGGGTGGAGATGGGTGTCTGCAGCCCTGGATCCTCCAGGTGATGCCTGTGTCACACCTGCATCCCTGGCAGCAGATGTGTTGGATGTGGCTGGAGTC